GGGTGGGGGGGGGGGGGCATGAAGGTATTACCCATACTTTCCGCAACTTATTCAATGTATAGTTAATTAAATACGTCTTCGCCCATTTAGTACTAAATTGCAAATTTCAACATACTAAAACGCTGTTTTCTGACTATCAGAATTCTGTCAAATATTCCCCAAAGTCCAGGAAATGGCATTTCAGAGACTCTAAATTGCCCTCACTTTCAGCCCCCCCCCCAATCGAAAAGAACTTCCTACGGCCCTGACATGTACGGTACATGTATACATGATATTATTAGTAATTTCAATTACACACCAAGATAATTATCTAAACAATCTTATATCGTAATATTTTGACCGAGCTAAAGTCAGATTGACCGGTCATTTTGAACGGAGACCAATCGGCCGTTAATTTGAGCCTTGAATCGAGTGAGATATCAACAAAATCTTGATATTTATCCACTAATGTATACTGTCACTGGACGACTGTGCAATATTCTCCTCTTAACCCTTTAAATGACAAATTGCACCCTGATGTGCCCTACTAATTTAGTATTTTACCAGGCCTTAAAATATCGGCCGGTCACGGACATTGTCCGACCCATTCGTGAAATTGTCCGACGTAGAGAGGAAACCACCGGACATTCTGCCCGACCTAAGTGAAACTGAGGTTTATTGTTTGTCCGACCCGACGTAGTATAATTGGTGTCCGACCGAACTGTAGCTTTGTCCGACGTAAATCAAAATGTACCCTAGCCCAGGACTAGAGGCTTGTATGTTAAATGGAAAATCTGAGTACTATTGTATAAAATGTGAACTGGAAATGTTGTTTTAACGTAGTCGAGCGCGGGGAGCGGAATGGTGAAGTGGAAAACGGGCTTAAGTTGTCGAAGTCTTTTTTAATACTGCTGTTCTGGCAAGCAAGTTAATTTTGGCTTGGAAATAAGTATGAAAAAAACAAATTATTTAACATCTTTACAACATTTACCGTTTATTCATTTGTGTCATTCAGACTTATTTCCGAGCCAAAATTGAACTGAAGGTCATCGGACATTATGTCCGACCCATGCAAACTCAACGTCAACGGACATTTTGTCAGACGGCCCTGGAAAAGATATTTTAAGGCCTGATTTTACTCTGTCTAACGCCAGGCGATTTTACTCGTCAAGTGGAGAGTGCTGCCACTCGATGGGTTAATGAGTAAATCACCTGCCATTAGTCACAATAATAAAGTTGGGAGCATTGCAGCTAATCAGTTAATCTTGCTCATCTTAGGCAACAGCAATTTAACTGTGTAACAAAATACAAATGTGTACAAGCCAATCAAGTCCAACGTATGTCATTTAATGGGATGTTGTTGTAAAATAGTTCAGCTGGATTTGCAGATGAAATATACTTGAAAAGGTCAGTTTGACTTACAGTAGTTGTGCATTGTTAGCAAAGTACTATTATACAACGATGATATGAAATGATTATTTTGTGTGTATTGGTGTTATATACTCAGGTGAATATGATGTTTGTGATGTTACTCTGAGTGTGCATCCACACCAGGCAAGCTGAGAAGTTAGCTTGGCCAGGGTGGGAATAGCCTGCGAACAGACTCTCAAGCTGAATTGAGAGCCTGCATCGATGACTAATGAATTTGAATATCTGCGTCTCAAATCGTGACGCGAAATTCTCATTGGTCAGATGCTATAATTTGTATGTTTCCGCTGAGCTCTATATATGTCAACTGCTGAAGTACTATGCATAAAAAAACACATTTATTTAACTGATCAAATTGGTCTTGGCCATCTTATCTCAAAGCACAAAATGTTCTGTTTTGAGAAAACAGTATTTAAAACATTTAAACTTTTGCTTGAATATCTTATATTTCGAAAAACAGTATAAACTGTACGGTCTAAATTTAGTTTGCACGGTCTAAGGGCCTGTTCATATGATCCCGCTTACCGGGACGTCTCGCTTACCGAGACGAATATTTTTGTGCGTTCATATGGAGTATTTCGTCCCGCTTGCCGAGTGAAATTACATTGAAGTTCTATAATTAATAGCGTATGCAAAACTTCTACATTTCAGTCAAGCAACACAAATACTTGGCGATTTTAGTGTTTTTCTTCGTTTATTTACAAGAAAAAGTATTGCTTCAGGTGGTTATTTAATACTTGTTTACAAAACAAACATAAAACCAATTAAAAAGTGTTAAATTAAACCGGCAAGACTTGTTTCACTTCATCCCGGTAAGCGGGCTGGCGTGTTCATATGGAAAAATTTTCATCCCGCCTACCTATGATCTCGGCAAATTCAAACGAGATCTCGGCAAGCGGGCCAGGTCGCTTTCTCATATGAACACAATGCAAAATTTTATAGGAAAATAGATAGGCGGCGAGATCATCGGTAAGCGAGACGTCCCGGTAAGCGGGATCATATGAACAGGCCCTAAATTTAGTTTGCACGAAAGTTGTAAACAACACCATATAAGGATAGACATTCCATATTTGGAAAAACGAACGTTACGGGGCAGATATTCAAATTCATTGGTCATCGATGCAGGCTCTCAATTCAGCTTGAGAGCCTGTTCGCAGGCTAGGGTGGGAATCGAACCCGCGAAGGAAACATAATGATATGAAAATTTTCCTTCAATGGTCCCCCTTTCCATTTCACCCAAATTGTTGAAAGCTGTTTTTATCAGTTGAAAGTTATTGTTTTGATGAGAGGAATCTGTCGGTTGGGCACTTTTTGCAATTTTCAAAAATTTCCAATGGTCCTCACTTTGTTGGCCTCAGGGTTGCTGTGGTCCCCGGGCTGTGCATTTGACCAAAATTTTTTTTATCGATGGAAAGTAATTGTTGACAGGAAAGGTTTTTGACCAAAATTTTTTAAGCATGTTTTTATCGATGGAAATTAATTGTTGACAGGAAAGGTTTTTGACGAAAATTTTGTAAAACATTTTTTATCGATGGAAAGTAATTGTTGACAGGAAAGGTTTTTGACCAAAACCTACTGCATGGGATGATTTCTCCGTATTACCACCCTTGTTTTTTGCTGTACGCATACAGATTTAGAAGATTGAGCCGACATCGTTGGCCTTCTTAAAAAGCTTCAAACTGAACTGGTAGTTTCTGATCTTCCGGCGATTTAAAACGTAGGAAAACTAATATGAAAATATTTTTATCAAAACGCGAGCGTGACTTTTGATAGGCTATAAAACAAAATAATAATGTAAATTTGAATAACATGCACACTAAGATAGATCCCTGATTGGCTGTTGCTCTCATGCATAGATTTGGCATGCCCACAAGTGTGATGAGTACCCTGTGGTCCCCCTTTGCATTTGGCCAAAAAATTTTAAAACATGGACTACAGTAGTTTGAGGCAGTTTTTGAATGTTTTTGAATTTTTTAAACATTTCCTGTGTTGCCCTCTATGCTAAGCCTTGCTAGGTACTGTGGTCCCCCTCCCCCTTTGCATTTGACCAAATTTTTAAAAATTAAAACATGTTTATCGATTGAAAGTAATTGTTTTGATGGCGGGAAGGATTTTTGACAATTTTGAGAAAGTTTGGACTAGTTTGAGGGTTTTTTGAATGTTTTTGATTTTCTGAAAAATTTCCTGTGGTCCCTTTGCTATCAATGCTATGCCTAGGGTACTCTGTCCCCCCCCCCCTTTGCATTTGATCAAAAGTTTTTAAAACATGTTTTTATCGATGGAAAGTAATTGTTTTGATGACAGGAAAGGTTTTCGATAGGGGTGCACCGGAACTCGGTTCCGGCCGGTTAGTTCCGGCCGGAACCCCGATTTTTTAGAGTTTCAGTTCCGGCCGGAACTAATATAAAAAGCATGGCCGGAACCGGAACTCTGTCGTTTTTTGAGAGATAGAATATCAAACATTTTCGTGTCTAACTAAAGGTCACAGTGAGAAGAAATTTGGACTTCGGAAGGGAAATGTACACTATTAACACTTCATTATGACGTTTAACGTTTGTCAATCTTTTTATTCTAACATTTGCGAGCTCTCTCCTTGATGACTTGAAGTGTCTGCCTGTCTGGCAGCGGACAAAGTAACATATGACTATATATGGCTTAATAAATTAGTTCCGGTGGCCGGAACTTTTTTCCAGTTACGGTCGGATCCGGTTCCGGCCGGAACTTAAAAAACTGCTTCCGGTGCGCCCCTAGTTTTCGACAATTTCCAGAAAGTTTGGACCAGTTTGAGGGGTTTTTTGAATCTTTTTGAATTTTTGAAAAATTTTCTAGGGTAGGTCAAGTTTTAAGTGGTAATACCATAGAAATTATTTCTATGGGTAATACACGGCCCTACTTTATTATTTTACTCTGTCTAATGGCAGACGATTTTACTTGGAGAGTACTGACACTCAATGGGTTAATTTGCCCATGCATCTTGGTAACAGTTGGTAGTCCACTCTAGTTTATTATTTTACTCTGTCTAACTTGACAAATGGAGAGTGCTCTCACTCAATGGGTTAAGTCATAGTTTCATCAGTACACTCAAATTAATTTCTAACATGTCTACTCCTATACAGGGTGTATAAAAAAAACGGAGTCCAAGTTTTGTGCTTAATAACATTCGGACTGCTACTTCTAATAAAACGGTTTTAGGCTTATTTTAAAGCCTGTTCATTTATCTTTCGACCAAATGGTCATCCGTGTCTTTAGTGCAAGTAATAAATGCACAGGAGAAAATTTAGTAAAACCTATCATGTTTAGATGCCGCTTAATTATACAAATTTACTGTGTTATTCCATAGTCGGTTGCAATGTTTGAATTTTCTTGTTCAAACTTTAACGTTCTTGTTGCCACGTCGGAAAAACTAGTAAGAACTTGTTAAAAACATTCTAAAAGAGATTAGGTAGTTTTATTTATTTCAAAATCCTATATTATTTCCAGAAATCATCAAAACAACCTTACGTCCATGCATCGTCCGAACGAGCACCATCGAATCGGGCTGTAATGTAAATATAAATTAGCAAGTTGACAGCAAGCTAAAACACGCTTCAGCCGGTATTATAACGCATTTGAAGTCAGCAAGTGAATTTAAAATAGTGTATTGGAAGCCATTATTACTTGATTTTTACAAGCAATTGCCAAAATGCCTCAATTTGCTCGTTTTGTTGACAAAATAAGTTATTTTCATCAAGTACCGGTTTGTTATTGCATCTCAAATTTTTGACTCTCCAATCGCAATCACTTAAAATATTATTATTCACGAACTTCTGGATTATATTTACGAAACAACCCACCGTTGAAAAGCTGAATGTCTACGCTTTAAAATAAATGTAAACCTGAACGTTTTGCTTTAATATTCGTTTCGAAATTTATATTTGAAGCGAGGACTCCGTTTTTTATGATACACCCTGTATAGCCTGCGTGCAGCCTGACTTTAAATGGGGAGAAGTCAGTCTGCGAATCAGGGAACAATACCGTGTTCGCGCCCATCTTTTGAATTGCATGGATTTCTGTATTCAAACGTGATTGGCTATTGCTCAGAAGCTTAATACACGCGTTACGATTGGTCATTCGTTAATAGATTCAGTTCAACAAAATAATATATGTACAAAATGGCGTCTTGGGAACCTCAATGAGAACCCTTTCATATATTTTGTATGGGTTTGTGCATAAATTACACACAACATTGCTCTTTGTGTTTTTGTCCGCCATTTTTTTTCATTCTGGAATGTTGTTTGAACCAAATATATATTAACGAATTGGCCAATCGTAGCGTGTGTGTTAGGCTTTTGAGCAATAGCCAATCACGTTTGAATACAGAAATCCATGCAATTCAAAAGATGGCGCGAACACGGTATTGTTCCTGATTCGCAGACTACTTCTCTCATTTAAAGTCAGGCTGCACGCAGGATACTCCTATATTGATTAAGTTTGTTTTCTGCTTTCAGTAATTCTCTCAGTATTTATCGTTGAAGTTGTCATGTTTATTCACAACAATCGTTATGGCATCGCACCAGACGTCATCGAGATACTAGAGGAGTGAGTGTTTTATTTTATGTTAAATTTGGGGGACACCCATTTGTCCTACCTAGTCCACACCAGAAATTTCGATCGCACGACAGCACTGCAGAGGTGTAACTTAGGGACCGTTTTCCATTAACGTTCGCTTTGCCCGCGCGGGCGAAGCGTTCATTGTTTTTGATGCCCGTCACGCCCGCGTGAGCAGATTTTCGAAGCCCGCTCCGCCCGCGCGGGCAAAGCGACTGCAATGGGAACCGGTCTTAACACTTGCCCGGGGGCAAGTGAATATCATGACGGGCAAGTAATTGTTTTATCTGGCTTGCCCGGTTGGGCAAGCTCAGGGTCCGATAATTCAATATTTTTAGCCGTACCTGACTGGTAGTCCGACAACTTTTGCCGCGTACCTGGTCACCAACAAACTTAAGAGTCAAGACGTACCTAAAGGCTGCATTCCAGTTACGCGTTTTTCATACGTGCGTACACGCACGTAAAAGATGAATTCGCTTTACATCCTACTTATGAAATAACTAAATTTATAAAAGGACAGCATTCAGTTTTGTGTATGATTTAATGTGTATTTGTTAGGTTATTTGCACTTATGTGAATTTTTAAGCGAATTCAACTTTTACGTGCGTGCCGAGTCATGCGTTTTTATACCTACGTATAGTTTACTGGTCCAAAAGCAAAAAATGTATGGGCAATTTTGTACAAATAAATCTTTAATTATGGTATTTGTACAACATAATATAACAGTTTTCAAAGCGTCGACGTTGTGACTCGAATGCCATCGCTTATTTACAGTGGATTTACCGAGGGTGCTAACTGTCTGACCTCAGCTACATACAGTGTAGTTTTCCTCATTGGGCCTTAAAAAACCTGTGGTTCTGGTTTCATATCGCGAAAAAATTAGGGTAGGTGGGTCGGAAATAAAATTTTTTTTTGAATATTTTTTTCATGGTTTTGGCGGTTTTTTGCTGGGCGATTATCAGGAGAGTCCCGACATCAATATTAACTAGAGATGCGTAGTTCTTACGGACGAATTTAGGCAATTTGGTTCAATAATTATTGTGACAACAGACGCCATTTTGGCACGCTGTACGAGCAGCCCGCAACCACCCGGAGAAAATAGGGTCGCACGGTCAATCGTGTTGAAAAAAATAATAGGATGGGCAGAAAAAAATAGGGTCGGTCGGGAAACCGGAACCACAAGTATTTTATTTTTAGGCCTTGGTATAGCATTGACAATTAAGCCCAGGTCACACTACGCAACGATAATGATACGATAACTTTTAAACACGCGATGATTGGTAAAAAAATTATGTTGGTGTCCACACTACAACGAAAACGATAAAATTATCGGCGTTTGACGATAACGATTTTAAAATCGCTCACCCGAGTGATTTTTTTTCAGTCGGACGATGACGATAAATTTTTTGATCAAGCGCAAAGATAACCTTTTGGCTTTTTTCATCCCAAAATATGTCGGATGCGTGGAATTTACATGTACAGCTAAAGTTCTTCACTGTTTTGAATACTTTGGCAGGTTTACTAGTTAGTGCTAGAAGGAAAATGTAAGTACGCGAATAGCAAATTTCCGCGTATCTACGTGGTACTTGCCTAAAAACAAAGAAGTACCAGACCATAAATTTGGCGTACCTCCGGTACGACGAATTATCGCACCCCGGCAAGCTGCACCACAAAAAGCTGGGCATTTTTAAGTTTATGTTCGCATTGTCGGATCAGTTTTTTTTAGTGCATGTACTTGATTTCAAATTTTGTTTTTTGTTGGCCCAATCTGAGGCAGTATAAAACATAGCCCAACCTAGTCCCAGTCGTTCTGAAGGAAGCGCGAGAAAAAACGTGGATGTAGTACGAGACTAGGACCTAGGTGTGACGTCACCGCTAAAGAACAGATTTCAGTGTTTTTAATATGGTGGAAAATTTATATATACAAATAACCTTGGAAATACGACAATGTTCGTTGATCATGTTCGATGTCTAGTTGTCTACATAACCAAATTCAAACTGTATTAAAAATGTGCTCAATTAAAAAAATTTATATACAAATTTACGATACTGAGTCTGAGTAATGGTCGTAAAATCGTTGATGTTATTTATATACTCGCAAGTTGTGATCAACACTAGACCATACTCGTATACACAACTACGCTTTCTACTTGACAGGTTTAAGTAGCTGAGGAGATTAGAAATATTTGCCTGACATGACTATGTTGTCAAAACATTTTTAGTCGGAGACTCGGCATAATTTTCAAGCTTCTAGATAGCATTTAATATGGCTTTATATTTTAGTAAACACGGGTCATATTTAGCTTAACGTAGCCTATTTCATTGTTCCGACAGCATTAGAGCAAAACTAATGACTTAATTATAAACGCAAAGGAAATTTCCATAACATTTTCTATTTACAAATGCGGTATGCTTGGTAACCAGGCCAGGGCTGAAGCGTTCCGCACAGCACACCCAGGCATAAAACTTTTAAGACTTATTTAAATATATCAAAGCAGCGATTAGAGAGAGAGCCTGGGACTAGGCTGAACATAGCCATATAGAACAGTGGGAGAACAGGTCGACATGTTGTCCCACAACCTAAGTATCCTAGTGGCCATTGTCTGATTTTATTCAGGGCAACTATAATTTTCATGTCCAACGGTCAAAAAGTAAAGTTACACCATGCACTGCTTGAGCAACCAAATTAGGTTTACGACATGTTTTTCAAAAATTCAAATTTTACCCTTAATGACTCAAAACCTTCTGGAAGTGATGAAAAATGTTTTCTTTCATCAAAACAATCACTTTCGACTTACGCAAACATGTTTGGCAAAATTTGAAAATTTCAGTCAAAAGAAAATTTCAGTCAAATTGAGCTATTTTTTAATAATGAAATATTGCCCCAAATCATTCCAGACGTTCTGGAAGTGATCTATTAATGTTTTCTTTGGTGAAAACGACGAATTTCGACTTGTAAGGACATGTTGTACAAAATTTGAAAATTTCAATGATTTAGCAGGAGACCACAGGCATCCTCTCAACTTTTCAAACCATTGATTCAATCTAAGGTGTCATATGAACTGAATATAATGTTGTTGTTTTTTTCAGGCAAGACAGATCAACGTGGATAATATTTGGACGCTTTTAGTTTATGAAAGTGACATGTTTTCCAAGAACAGATTTGAGCATGACAAGAATAAAGCTTATCCTTCAGACATTATGAGAATTTAGATACCCTAAGAATGTGAACATATAGGTATAAGATAATGAATGGAGGACATCAATCTGTCTGAGGCATCGAGAACTAATCAGGTATTATAGAAACTATAACTTTATTTCTCTATATGATAATTATATTGACTATATTTTAAATAAAAAGTGGAAAATCAGCCTTTGGATTCTCTTGATCCTTTTAAGCAGATTATTTTACTCGGTGTAACGCCAGATTATTTTACGTCAGACGATTACGTCAGTAAGGATTAAGGTGAGCTGGCGAGTAAGTATGTGGTACATACTATTAATACATTATTGCCCATTACAGTTAGCTGTTATCTTTTATGAACAAAGTATTAAGGGATACCCTTGGCATATTGAAAGAGTAGCTAAAAATGGCCAAGAAGAAAATGCTAATCCCTCGCCATTTTTCTGACAAAGTAATGGTAAAAAATAAAAAGGATAGCATTTTAGACAATTTTGTAAAGGCTAATTAATCCCCAAAAAGTGAAGGCTAATAACTTAAATTTTGGATTATTTTAGAAAGTTTTTTATGATTTCAGAAAAATCGGCAAATTTGTAAGGGGTGGAGGGTGGGGGGGGGGGGATATAAACGCTTAATAGTTCGTTTTTGACACTTAATTTTTTTCACAATGTGACCAAAAATGGAATGAGAACAGTTCTTTCACCATTATTGGTCACTTTTTGAAAAAATTAAGTGGCATAAACATTACTTTTTCATCATTTTTGCATGCCAAAAAGTAAAGGCTAAGGTTGTATAAAAAAGTGATTAAAGTTAACTATAATTAAGTGCAAACGTCATCCAATAAGAAGCGCCTATTTGAGAGTTAATCACTATTTAATTACAAAATAGTGATTAAAAAAGTGATTAAGAGTTTTATACAACCGGCCCCAGAACTTTAATTTTTGGCGACTTAATTTTTTAAATAAAGTTTGTTGATGAGAGTTTATGTAGAAATTATTATAGTTTTCACCAATGGATGTTGCATGAGGGAGAACTGCGGATCGATCCCCGCTGTAGTCAAAACCATTTTAATGTCAGGCATCGTTAATTAACTCCACCCGAGACGAGAATTAGTTACTAAGTACAATAAAAAAGGAGTTAAAGCAAGGGTAGCCGAGATGGTCTAATGGCAAGGACAAAGTGTTGCAAGTGTGTGAAGCCAGGATCAATTCCTGCTGTAGTCAAAAAGCATTTTAATGTCAGGCGTTGTTGTTCATTAATTCCACCCGAGACGAGAAAGAGTTAAGCAGAATAAAAAAGGAATTTAAGCAAGTATAGGCGAGATGATATAGTGTTAAGGAGAAAGTGTTGCAAGTGTGTGAAGCCAGGATCAATTCCTGCTGTAGTCAAAAAGCATTTTAATGTCAGGCGTTGTTGTTCATTAATTCCACCCGAGATGAGAAAGAGTTAAGTAGAATAAAGAAGGAGTTAAAGCAAGTGTTGGCGAGATGGTCTAGTGGTAAGGACGAAGCGTTGCAAGTGCGTGAAGCTAGGTTCTATTCCTGGTTGTGTCAAGAGCATTTTAATGTCATGTGTCGTTAATTAATTCCACCCGAGATGAGAAAGAGTTAAGTAGAATAAAGAAGGAGTTAAAGCAAGTATAGGCGAGATGGTCTAGTGGTAAGGACGACGTGTTGCAAGTGCGTGAAGCTATGTTCGATTCCTGGTTGTGTCAAGAGCATTTTAATGTCATGTGTCGTTAATTAATTCCACCCGAGACGAGAAAGAGTTAAGTAGAATAAAGAAGGAGTTAAAGCAAGTGTAGGCGAGATGGTGTAGTGGTAAGGACGACGTGTTGCAAGTGCGTGAAGCTATGTTCGATTCCTGGTTGTATCAAGAGCATTTTAATGTCATGTGTCGTTAATTAATTCCACCCGAGATGAGAAAGAATTCAGTAGAATAAAAATATAATTAAAGCAGTATAGGCGAGATGGTCTAGTGGTAAGGACAAAGTGTTGCAAGTCTTTGAAGCCAGGATCAATTCCTGCTGTAGTCAAAACGCATTTTAATGTCAGGCGTCGTTGTTAATTAATTCCACCCGAGATGAGAAAGAGTAAAGTAGAATAAAGAAGGAGTTAAAGCAAGTATAGGCGAGATGGTCTAGTGGTAAGGACGAAGTGTTGCAAGTGCGTGAAGCTAGGTTCGATTCCTGGTTGTGTCAAGAGCATTTTAATGTTGGGTCTCGTTGTTAATTAATTCCACCCGAGACGAAGTGTTGCAAGTGTGTGAACCCAGGTTCGATTCCTGGTTGTATCGAATTGTTGTGTGTCGGTTGTGTCTTCATTAATTATAGAGTCGAAGGGAAAAGGATTAAGTAGAATAAAAAAACATAACCATTTCACCAAGAGTCCAGGTGGTCTAGTGGTACATTCATCTCGTGAAATATCGTGTGGGGGGAGAATAGTAGGCGCCGTTTGTGGCGCCGCATTTCCAGAGGTTAACACGGAGGAAGTGCGAAGTGTGGCGCCGAATTTCCAGAGGTGAACACGGAGGAAATGCGAGAAAGTAAATTTAGTAGTAAAAAGTAAAGTTTTTAGTAATGAAAAGTGAAGTAAGACAAGTTAGTTACTAAATTAATTTACTGACTTGAGTTAGTAAGTAAAACTTGACTAACTTTACTTACTTACTAATTTACTGACTTGACTTACT